ACAGGTGGGGAGCTTAGGGTATATAGGGCTTCTATAAGGCTTCTATAAGGGATTTAGACCTTCCATAAGGCTCCTATAATGGTAACTACCCACCTGAAAATGTCCTAGAACTAAAGCCTTAACCCTCAGCTCGCAAACCAATTGGAGACTGTTCTGCACTTCTCGGGCATGCTCGCTACGAGGGTTTCGGTTTGGGTTTAGGGTGTAGGGTGATGTTGCTTCCCTGGGCTTCAGGTTTAGGCACTGCAAAAGCGAACGTGTGCTGCAAGTGCGATGTGAAGGTAAGAAGTTCCACCCGGTTTAGGGTTCAGGGTTCCTTTTTCAAGTATACCCTTATTGTTTGCTAGATGCGGCGGTCGCAAAGCATCCCTGCGAAAGTGGATGCTGCGCATTGAATGATAACGGGTCCAGGTGCCTACAAGTAATGGTCATGTACTCCCCCAAATCCTGACTTACAAAACCACGAGCCACTAGCCTAAACCAATGTATCTAATGGTTATCTCCTTTGGACACTCAAGGGTATCTCAAATTGTGAGGAGGTCTCCAACATTGTCGGTTCATTGTCCGAACCCCAAAAAAGCCACTGTGGGGCCACGGTGGAGACTGCGAGGGGGGCACTGCTATGGGGAAGCTAATGCGTATCCCTTACAAACCCTAAACCCTGAACCCTGAACCCTAAAAACTTGATGTACCGACGACACCCCATAGCCTCCACGGCCGACTCTGGTGCAGCAAGAAGCGCATCGACCGTGCCAACAGAGACCATGGCGGCTCAATTTTGGGTGATTCAAACGGGGGCTTAGGGTTTTTTAGCACTCGCTCTCGTCGAAGCAGGCGAGGTTTAGGGTTTAGGGTTTCCCTGCGGGGTGCTAGCAAATCCCGTGTAGTGAGACTGCTGAATGCTCCATACACAGCATGTCAAACAGCTACAGTAAACTCGACACACGTTCTGTTCCGAAGGCTTCAGCAGAAAATCCAAACAGGGTTATACGAAAACTTCATTCTGCAGTGGGTTGGCCATAGCAAGCATGCGGGTGAATTGACTTGAAGGGGCAGCACGTAGGAGCCAAAAAGGCGCAGAACATTTTCCCAGACAAAGCTGTGCAGCTTCGAGCGAAGTGCTTCTCCTACCCAGAGCATTGCCACATACCGCACCGACATAACATACCATTAAACAACACGGCAAACAAAACAGGACTTAAAGTTTCCGGCTTACCTGGTCAAATTATTTTATGGTACATTCTCACGAGGACGAAGAAGGAAGGTTAGACGTCATCGAATGCTGGGGGGGTTGAGGCGCCAGGAAGGATGTGAGCCCTAGGCAGCCAGGCGTGGATGGAAATCAAGAACCTAAACCCTAAACCCCAAACCCTAATCAAGAACCTACGCCCTAAAACCTAACCAAGAACCTAGAACCTAAACCCTAAACCCTAATCAAGAACCTGAACCATAAAGGCTTTTTTGGATTTAGGCTCTTCAACCCTAATACCATTTTGAACCAACCCTTTCTTTCGCATCTGGCCTGCAGCGACTGAACCATGACAGAAACAAGATGGACCACCGCAAACCCTAGAACCTAAATCCTCACGCCTAAATCCTATACCCTGAGCCCAGTGTCTTAATAACTACAATGCAGTTTTCAAACAGGAATTTAGAGTGCTGCTCTAGTAGGGTTGTACAAGGCCTGGTGATTGTTGCAGGAGCATGAAGACTTCGGCCGTCGGATACAAGATATTGCGTATGGTAGATGCGTCTCTGTATGTGTATGTTCACATACACACACTATTAACAAATACAAGACACAAACATAGGTTCACAGCCATCAAAACGAAGCATGATTAAGCATACTAGTTCTGACGAGGCATCTACTAATTCTGATGGTGTTTATAAGGCTGTTCAATCTAAATCTCAACCTAAGAAATGAGCGTTCTCCGGTTGAAGCGTGAGCCTGCCTATAAATCTTGAACCCTCCACACTAGGCATGGCTTGGGGCATACCATATGGGTAGTTTTCAATATTAGGGTCCCTTTTAGGGTCCTTCTTATAAGGGTGCCGTACTATATTGGCGACCTAAAAAGGGACCCTAATTTAGAAAACTACCCATATATCTGTATCTGAACTTAAACCTAGATCCTGAATCTGAGCTCAGGAAGCACAGGATTGTCCTGAACTGGGCTGCCCACTCCATCGAAGTCCGGTATAGCCTTAGCCGTCCGGAGGCTACTTCACAGACTGGCCTAGCATTTAGGGTAGAGGCTCTGCAGGGGGTTAGGGTTTGGGACTTCGAGGCGCGAAGGATAAGGGCGACAATCCTTCTAATCGTCACGTCATGTCGTATGCTGCGTCATCGAGTAGGAGTTCGATCCCCAGAGCCTCTTCAAGACTCCCAAAGGCCCACAGTAGGTACAGCTATCTACAAACTTTATAGACTTTTGACCCCAAAGAACCTACTATAATTTGTATACTTGGGAGCCTGAGTAACTTGTAGCCCTCTAACGTATGCAACATGACAGATCATAAGCCTTGATTACAGTCTAGGGTTTAGGGTTTAGGGACTTAGGGTTTAGGGTACAGGTCCGACTCCAAGGAATGCTGGGTTTAGTGCTTCGAGACTGTTCCGGTTTCCTTTTATACTGGGTGGCGAGGTGTCTCGTAGCAGCCGCTGAGAGTGCGCATCATCTTTAGCAGGCGCGGGTTTACGAATCGAGGGGAATTACCCATAGGCTCCTTAGTAGTTCCTTTTTGGGACTACCTTATAGGATCCTAAATATAAACCACAAAAAAGGAACTACTAAGGAGCCCATGGGTACACATCAGGCAATTAGCCTTGGAATCTTCAGACCAAAACCCTAAACCGCCAAAAAACACAAAGGCAAAAGTGCGGGATCAGCTGCGGAAGTCGAGGTTCATGGATGCACTGTGAAGCAACATACGATGGAGTTGCCATAGATCTTGGGGGGGGGCGTGTAGCAGTTTAGGGTTGAATTAAGGTTTAAGACTAGGAGACCCAGGGATCCTAGCAGCTACTGCTACTATCTGCTATTAACCCAAGAATCGAAACAAGATGTTATACCTATAATAAAGAACCTCCAAAATAGTATAGGTAATTACTGAGGCCCGTATAGTAACCAGAGTTTTTGGAGCCTTCGACCCCCGATACCGCCAGCATAGGCACATAAGCCCTACACCCTAAACCCGAAGCCCTAAACCCTAAACCTTATCAGCCCTAAACCTGCAACTGGGCTGCTGGAGGTTGCTGCTGCTTCGCCAGCTGCAGCGATAGAGGAACCAATAACGAGCTGCTGTAAAGTCTCCTTCCATAGTTGGCTTGGGCTTTTTGGCGGGAGTTCTGTAACCTTAAAGACGAAATGAACCTAAAAAGGGTTTCAGGCTCATATACCTTATAAGGATTCATAGTAAAGTGTATAGGGCCCCTACTTATAAGGGTCATTTGGTCCCCGAGGAACGGCTTCATAAGAGCGTTACGGGTTCTAGGGTACCAACTCCCCGAAGAAATAGTCCTCAAGTTATTCATGATCCGTCAGGTACTGGGACATACCGCAATTAAGGCTTTTGGGTTGTCCGGGCATAGCATTTTTGTTCCTAAAAAAATTAAACCCAAATCCCCCAAACCCTAAATCCTGAACCCAAAAATCTTGAGTCGGTTGAGGGGGCACCGAGGAACTGATCCGGGATGGGGGTCTCACAGCCTTCGGCCTTTGGGTGGGTGGTCTGGGTTACCATAAGGATGGCTCGGGAGTTTAAAGGCTTAAGTAAAGGCCCCTAAACCCTAAACCCTAAACTAGTTTAGTGTCTACGGCTTTTCGTGGGGGTCAGGGATACCTTGGCAGCAGCTGAGGCTCACGATTTCAGAGGTTTAATTCATGGAGTAAAAGGATTGACATGCGATTTCATTTCAGGCCGGTGGTTCGATACCGAGGCTGGCAGGGCTTGAGGCCGTAAAGTTCGAACCCTAAACCCTAAACCCCATAAACCCTAAATCCTAAACCCCTAAACCCTATTTTTTCACAAGGGACTCGACTGCTGCCCTAAACCCTATAAACCCTAAATCCCAAACCCTAAGCCTTCCTTCTTTCCGCAGGTGAGACCAGCACCGTTTCAGCCGGGACTAAAGCTCCCCCAAACCATAAACCCTCTTGGACGAGGTCTCTCTGAAGTGCAGCCTTTGACCCCAAAACCCCGAAAACCCAAACCCCTAAAGCCCTAATATACAGGCCTAAAATAATTACTAATTCTATTTTGGTGGTTCCTTGTTATATTTATATATAGTATAATGGACCCCAAAACCCTATTCTAATCATTAATTAAGGCCCCTATATTAAGCACAAACCCTAAGCCCTGCGACCCCGACTCCTTGTCTTTGGGAAGACGCACCAGCCTGCAGCAAGCTGCGTAATATGGAAGCTTGAAAGACCTATAATGCTGCGATTATTCCCTCTCTCGCTCTATCTACCTATCTATCTATCTATCTATCTATCTATATATATATATGAATATATATATATATATATACATATATATATATGAATATATATGTGGGTGTGTGTGTATGTATATATCATCGCTAATACAGATTTGATTTGGTATATGCCAACAACCCTATGGAATTTTGGAGACTTACTAAGGCCCCTATAGTATGCTCTCGTTCGGGTGTCCTCGCAGCATGGTTCAGTCTGAGGCGGGGTTAGGGCTCTATCAGGGTCCTGTACAGGCTCAACGAGCGTGTCGTAAGGGTCTATTAGTAAGGGCCCGTGGCTTCCTTCTTGGCGTTTGGGGCTTTTCCGAAAGAGAATTTCGCATCGCACATAATTAAGACAGCATTCAGAACGACCTTCGACCATCCTCCTACACCGGTGCCGCAACACTTGTCCGTTTTATGCAAGGCGGTTGTCATCTGCGCTGCGACTAGTGGATTCTACTGGTGTCTTCCGCCGGCCGTCGGCGGACGACCTCATCGCGGATGCGCATCGGGCAGCAGCCATTCTCGTGAAGAGCCCGAAAGCGCCCTCGTTGTGGTAGACAGGATCCCACATGCTGTGACTAGTCCGCGTCCCGCGGAGCAGCGCTAGATGCAGATTCGGTGACCAAGTGTAGACTGTGGCAGAGACGGTCTGTCCTTCCACCGCGATGTCCTGTCTTGTTCTAATCACAACTGCCCTGGTTTAGGGGCTTATATAGAGATTTTTAGGATTCTAGGGTTTTTCTTTATACTTCGCGGTTTAGGGCTTAAGAACTTTTGCGGTTTTGCCGGGTTTCGGGTATCCCCCCCAAAAAAAACTAAAGCCTCACGGACGTCCTGAGTTGCTGCCTCCTTTGGGAGGCCGCGCTTGTCAGCCAACCACAAGAAGTCCCGCCATGTCACGGTCCGACTATCCGCCTCCCAGACACTCCATTGGTTTTGAAATTCATGGTTTAGGGTTTAGGGTTTGTAGGGTTAGAGGGTTAAGGGGTTTAGGGTTTTTTCCCTCTCGCAGAGCTCAGCCATGCGAGGGTTTAGTGCACAGGGTTGTTAGGGGCTTCAGCTGTAGGGGTGCAGGGTTGAGGGTAACCGGCCTATGACAGAACCAAAATACAAGGCAACAGGAATAAAGGTCTCCCATTCGCTATCTCAGCATTAAAAATTAAGGCTTGGGGTTTAGGGGTTTAAGGTTCATAAAAGGAGCCGCGTTATTGTTTACGGTATCCGTTTCTTACAGGTTTTTGATACGTCTTTTAGAGTTGTTTCCCCGTTACTGGGTCTTTGAGGCCCCGCCTCGCCAGCGAAGAACCACAAGGGAAGCTTCTCCAGCCTAACTTTAAACAAACACCCAGACAGGAGAAGCTTCGCTAGACCTTTCTAGGAAAATTCTGTCCCCTGACAGCCCCTAGTAAAGCTGGACGCTGTACTCTATCCCAAAAACCTTGCAGGCTCAGGGTTTAGGGTTTACCCCTAAACCCCAAACCCCTAAACTCTAAAAGTTTAGGGTATTCTTGGGTGCCGTGGCGCTCTCTGAAGATGGACTCCTCCTGGTCCCAAGCGTCCTTGGGCCAAGCGCAGCAAGCGGCCATCGGAGAAACCTGCGGTAGTTTAGGGTTTAGGGTTTAGGGGTTTAAGGTTTAGTTTAGGGTTTACGGTTTAGGGGTTTTAGGGTTTAGGGTCTAGGGCTTACTCTAGGGGTTTAGGGTTTAGAGTTTAGGGTTTAGGGGTTTTAGGGTTTAGAGGTTTAGGGCTTAGGGTTTAGGGTTTAGGGGTTTAGGGGTTTAGGGTTAGGGTTTACGGCTCCATTGGGCAAATCCCGTAAACCTCAAAACCAAAGAGCCTGACACCCTAATGCAGGCGTCTGAGTAATTGCCAATATTCTTCCTCAGGCTCCCGAATATACAACAGTCTAATTCTTAAGGCCCCTATAGTAAGCCTTGAAATCCGGAACCTCCAATATGTAGAAACCTACACACCCAAAACTGTCAGAATCGGTAAGAGCCAACGTTGAAACCGTATACAATGTCTGAACCTGCATAGCACTCCATGCAACCCTTGTACTAACCCTCTCAAAGACACTAACAGCCTTCCAACAAAGTGCTCTAAAAACCGAAACCTCAAAACCTCAGGCACCTAAACCCTATATCTTCCCGACCCCTGAATCCTTTTGCCCCTAAACCCCTAAACCCTAAAGAACCCTCAACCCCTAAACCTCCAAAGTACCCACAACACGAACTTCAAAGGACTAAAGGAGACCCTTGGGGTTATATAGGGGCTTTATGCGACTATATATGGGGTATATAACCTACAGTCTCCATTGTAGTTCCTTTTTGGGGTTACCTTTTAGGATCCTTAATATAATATTGGTTAAGCCAAAAAAAGGAACTCCAATGGAGACTATAGGAAGGGTTATATAGGGTATTAGGATTAGGGGTGCCTTCTAGGGGTCCCTCCTATTGCCCCTTATCAACTAAGGCGGCCCACGGAGGCAAGGAGGGAGCCATAGCGAAATGCGAGGCCCCAAGTCGCTTGCCCTCCCATGCTGTAGCCTTTCAAGGGTCGTTTAGGGCTTAGGGTTTAGGGTTGTGTCGGGTTTTGGGGCTTAAGGCCTAGACTCTTGTCAATTATCAGGGTTTTTTTTTAAGGCTTTGGGGTTTCAGGGTTGTAGTGAGTATAGAGAATCGGGCTTTAGAGTTGCTTTGGTGTGGGGCTTTAAGGTTTTAGGGTCTTTGGGTATAGGTCGTTCTGGGGCGTATTGTTCTGGAAAAACTACGTTTTTTTCACGCTAAGACGTCGGATGTGCTCTTCTAAGTGTTCGCAGCTGACATTGGATACGCTGTTTTTCCGGAGTTCGCATGTGACATTGCACACGCTTTCTTCGATGTTCGGGTACCGGCTTTAATGCCGGGGTGTGCATCGGATGTTGCATACGGCTTTCGCAGCTATGACTTTGGATGCGGTTTTTCGGTGTTGGCATATGGCATTGCATACTTTTCTATCGGGGTTCGTATATGATGCTTGAAACGACATTTTTTCGCGGTCATGACATTGGATACGGTTTTAAGGTGATACCAAGACAACGCCGAAATCAACGAACAGCAAAAACAGAGCAATCGAAAGACTTGCGACCCAACATACAACATCACATCTATCTCGCTCCCTCCCTCTCTCATTCATTCACTCGGTCGCTCGCGCATTGCATGACCGACTCATGCCACGCATCCTTCAACTGATCTCGCTTCTTGCTGCTATCACCAACTTCCGAAAAGCTTTCCAGAGAACCCAATACCCCTTAATTAAGGAGTTTACCTTAAATCATAGGGGCCTTCATAATATGATTTAAGGTAGATTCCTTATTAAGGGGTATTGGGCTCTCCGGGTTTCTGTAACAAGAACCCAGTGGCCCGTGACGTGCAAGCGGGCAAGGTCTGCTCTGTTGCCCAGATCGTCCAGAGCTGCAAGGAAGAACTCCCAAAGGATCTCGACAGCAAAACCTGGGTTGGGGTTGAGGGTTTCGGGTTTAGGGCTTAGGGTTTAGGGTTTGATCTCGACAGCAAAACCTGGGTTGGGGGGGTTGGAAAGCAACTTAATGGCGCAGGGTTTACACGTTTCTGCAGGGTTTTATAAGGGTTGAAGGAACCAACGAAAGCTAGTCTCGGATATTTCGGATATATAGAAGCAACATTTATTCTGGCTCAACGGGAGCCCAGAGACACTTTACGTACGGCTCCTCAATCTGGAAGCGATTCCTTTTCAGCCACTCAGAAGGATGAACTACAGGCTCTCCAACCGATCCGAAGGGTGCGATGACAATGAATTCCTCACGAGCCGTGCGGTTGTTCTCCAAGAGCTTCTCAATGTCCCACCATAAGGTCTCTGGGTAGATGTAGGTGTGCGCGCCATGCAGAAACAGCAGAACAGGAAGAGGTTTCGCACCGCCGGGGTTGTGCAGCAGGTAATTCTGTTCTCGCGAGCCAAACCTTGCTTCCCAATAGTATATAATCACATTCTTAAATTTAAGTTTTACAGCAGGATTACAAAATTCAACCACGATCTAGCATCGTAAATCTAAAACCCGAGGCTACATAAACCCGAAAGCCCAAAAACCACGAACAGGCTCGAAGAAGCTGAGACATGTTGCTTCTTCGACTGCAAAGAACTGTCATCCGTTTCGACACACAGCCGGCCGAGGCTTCGGTGTGTAGAGCAGACTTTTTGTGGGCACAAGTGTGTTTTAAGTCTATTTTTCTCTCCACCGAGCCGACCGAATCGGCTCGAATTCTGCAAAGTCTGCGTATCCACCCGAACTCCCCCGCTTCCAAAGATAAAAGGACACGAAAGTCACCGGAAATCTGGGATGGCCGCCACGTTGGTCTGACAGCACTGTCCCCAATGCACTTCCAAGTGTCTTAAACCCTTCAAACTCTGGAGAACCTTTGTACTATGTTGAAAACCTTCAAAAACGGTTCAGAAAACCATGGAATCGTTCCAAACCCTTTCAAACCCTTCCAAAACCTTTCGAACACCCTTCAAAATAACATGTAGTCCCTTTAAAACACAAGGGACTCCACCGTTCTCTCCTCCCATGATATGGTAAGTACGGACAAACAGCGGATATATAGGTTAATAGGGCTCCCATGTTTGCTATTTCTTTCTTACTCCTACTATCACGATTGTGATTGCTGCAGTTGATGTTGCTGTTGCTGTCGTTGTTGCCGTTGCTGGTGGTGTTGTTGTTGCAGCTGTTGTTGCCATTGTTGCTGTCTGTGTTGCTGTTGCTTTTACTGTTACTGTTGCTGCTGCTGTTGTTGTTGTTGTTGCTGTTGGTGCTGCTGCTGTTGTTGTTGTTGTTCTTGCTGTTGCTGTTGCTGGTGCTGTTGCTGTTGCTGCTGCTGCTGCTGTTGCTGTTGTTGTTGCTCTTGCTGTTGCTGCTGTTGTTGTTGCTGTTGTCGAATTTCGTTGTCAACGTCGTCGTCGTGGTTGTTGTTGTTGTTGTTGCCGTGATTGTCGTTGTCGTTGTCGTCGTGGTTGTTGTGGTTGTTGTCGTTGTTGTTGTTGTGGTTGTTGTTGTTGTTGTTGATGATGTTGTTGTTGTTGGTGGTGGTGGTGGTGCTGTTGGTGGTGGTACTGTTGTTGTTGTTGCTGTTGTTATTGTGGTTGTTGTTGTTGTTGTGGTTGTTGCTGTTGTTGCTGTTGTTGGTGTTGTTGCTGTTGTTGTTGTTGTTGGTGGTGGTGGTGTTGTCGTTGTTGTCGTTGTGGTTGTGGTTGTGGTTGTTGTCGTTGTTGTTTGCTGTGTGCTGTTTGTTGTTTGTTGTTGTTGTTGT